AACTTATGTAGCTTAATCTTAAAACCAGACAGGTCCTTCGCCCCCACCGTTTCCCTCGGAAGGCTGTTCCAATATTTCACCCCTCTAACGGTCAGAAACCTTCGTCTAATTTCAAGCCTAAACTTCCCCACGGCCAGTTTATATCTTTAAGAAGGGTATTACCATCTTTGGATCTCAGAGGTGTATGGCCACATGAGCTTGGTCCTTACAGGGTCTTTGTCTCACAAAAAAAGCTTTCCATATCATGTCTGTCAGCAAATGTTTGGATTTCTTTTGCTTTGTCCTTCCACCATTGTTTTTGATTTCTCGGATCCTCCTTTGAACTTCAGCTTTGAGCTGATGGGAAGAGCTCTGCTTCTGACTGGATAGTGGTTGGTTTTGCCAGTTGCAGAAAGCTTTTCTCTTCTGGTACAAAAGGACTGTAATCTCAGTGTTGTTGCTGCCAAACCAGTCCTGATGGCGGTGCGTAGCAAGGCCAATGGATTCCTTGCAAACCTCATGGATGGTCTGTTTTAGGACTTCCCAGTCTTCTTCGACACGTGTGATGTCATTTTCCGGTGTGCAGATAGCCAGTTTTTCACTGAGGAGATTGGAAGTTCTCTTGGTGCACTGAGGATTGAAGTCTTTGGATGTTGAATTACCATCTGTGTGATTTGGATTGCTTTCTATGTTTTGGTGCAATCCTGATGGACATGACTGACCTCACCAGGCGGTGGTCAGTCCAGAAATCATTGGCTCCTCTCATGACACGGGTGATTTGGACATCTCTTAGATCCTGTGTTCTTACAATGACATAGTCTAGGAGGTGCCACTGTTTTGAGTGGGGGTGTTGCCAAGTTGTTTTGTATTTGTTGCTTTGTCTGAAGACTGTGTTTATGATCACAAGGTCGTGCTCTGCACATTTTTGAGTAGAAGGATGCCACTGGAACTGGTCTTGCCTACTCCTTCCTTCTCAATGGTGCTACTCCATATGTTAGAATCTCGGCCAACTCTTACATTAAAATCCCTAAAAAGGATTATCTTATCTGTTTTTGGAATGGATGACACACATTTTATCAAGGCACATGATGACCATCTTGCGGTCACCGCCTGCGTGT